CAGGCCTGCTGCCCTAATGGCTTCTTCTGTGAGATGCTATCCTTGTTGACGAAGCTGTTCATGATAGTGTTGCACCAGCAGTGAAGATTGGATTCTTCACTGCTGGGACCACATCTACCTTATTCGAGCATCTCCCTACCTGGAGTAACCTGTCATCATTGAGGCAGGGGCTAAACTTGAGGAGGGGGCTGGTTTTTGGTATTGCTTTCTCACTTCTGAGACACCCGAACTCCTGTAAATAAGACTCATGTTGCATGCTGTGTAGGCTTAGCTTCTCTGCCCAATGTTGCTTATCTAGTCAGGTCAGCCCAGTATTCTGGTGATACACATAGTGGATGATACATGCTACTCCTAGAACAAGTGGGGTCCAATGAGAGAAGCATTTGAAGCACCGTACCTCCAGCAGGTGGCATCTTTTCTCGATCTTTGTTGTCATGCAAACGACTTGAGGTTGTACCTCGATGTCCCCATCTGGGTCTAAGAGCTCGTGGTGTTCCTCCTCATGTTGCAAAGTTCTGTCTGGATGTAGGAGCAGTTTGGGACCTTTCAGCCAGGTTGACTTGGCTAGTTGAGATGCTGGAATAGAACATGTTGTGTGATCCTTCAGATTCTGGTCCATGGGAATGTATCTCCACTGCTCAGAACATGAAGACCATCTGATGTGTTCCACTCTGTTGTTCACTTTGCTGTTCATATAGAAGGTTGTGGCCTTGAGCTCGACATCCATTTCCCTCTGTATCTGCCAGCTCCATGACTAACACAGCACTGCACAGTTCCAGCCTTGGGACGGTGTATCCTTGTTGCAGTGCTAACAGCTTTTCCCATAATGAAGCCTACATGGATGCAACTCTCACCGCCAGTGACCTTGAGGTATGCTACTGCAGCTATTACCTTGGCTGATGCATCCGAGAAGATGTGAAGCTCTCTGTGGAGGCAGTGGTGGATGAGATTGGGATGTAGGTGCATGATATGTGTATGCTTTGCAAACTGCTAAGGGAGTTTTTCCATGCTTCCCAGTCTAGGGGAAGAGGTTTGTGTCAGGCCTCACAGCAAGAACGGAGCCTGGTTTACGATCTGGAAGAGAGAGAATCTTATTAAGAATGAGTATCAAAGAACGTCAAGCTGCAAACCCTTAGCAGTGTGGCCTTGGCGGCCGTTAATTAATTAGCAACATTCCCAAGTGATCACACCTGCATTGGGAGGGCATTGGGCTATCTGATGAATTTTAAGTTTCGATTCCCCAGTGCTCACAAACAAGTATTATGGGATGTTTTGGTTACCCTAGTTACCAGCAACTGTGACATCACTGTTGCCGGGTCATGAGTGGCTAACAGGCCTGAGCCCCTCGTGACCCCCCTTTTCTATAAGAACCTGTGTTCTTAGTAACTGGTGTGGATTCTTTGGGTATTTTGGCCATGCTTGGTCAATACTCGAAGCAACCCTCCAATATGCCTTGAATACTTGGATTATCCTCCTAAGGGAAGATGTTGTTTGGACTTATACCTCATGCTTTTGGACTTTGATGCAATTTGAATCTAATACGGGTAAACCTCTTGTACATGCTTGTAAGTAATTAGCTATGCTGGATATGCGTAGAGTTTGTTATTTTGTTTCCTCACTACCTAAGTCTCGTGTTTTATAACTTTGCACAATTTATTTAAATAAAGAAACTATATTTTTATTTTGTCTGGGTTACTGAGCCTCACGAGTTTCAAAGCCTTAATCCTGTGTCTTAAACTACTGGGTCTCTTACTACCAATTGTGTTTCTTAGTCAAGCCTTGTGGTGGAAGCTGCAGAGCTTGGTTCTTTGACTTGTGTTCCTGTGTTGAGCCTGGAGATTTCTAGTTACTTTGCTCCAGGCGGATTGGGAACTAAAAAGTAACTTGGTGGCAGATACCTCTTGGTCTTGTGCTGTGTGTCCCTTGTTTTAACAGCCTTGGGTTCTGGAGAGGACCCCTGGTTGCTACAATGAATGCTTGTACAGGATCACTGTTAGGAATAACGGGGTACTGTGCGCATGGGAGGTTATAGTACATTCAAATCAGCGTTACCCTATTAGCGTGGTTCTCGTGCGTGCTTGGAGTAGTTCCCGCGCGCGCCAAAGGCTTGGGAACTAACCGCTGTCTAGTGCAAAACAGGTCCACGCTTCTCAAGGCCCATCTCCACTACAAAGACAAAGCAATTACCTCTGCTCTCCTCCTGTGGCCTTGAAAGATACATAACACGGCAAAGCAGCAATTAGGCATAGGGAAAGGAATGCATAGAATAGGAAAACACAATACAGAATACAGAAATCATTTGGCAGCTTGCTGACAGTTTGTCCCAGTTTTTGTTTCCCTGGGAGAGTGTACATAGTAGGTGCTTCTCTTGCAGCACTGGAGCTGCAAACCCCAAAGGATCACACAGGCTGGTTACCGTAGACAAAACACCTCGTCTGGTAAACTGCTTCTCTTGAGCTGGCCCTCAGAAGGTGAGGGTGTCCCTCTTTAGGTCCCAACTTAAACTGAGGCTGCATTGGACGAGGAGAGTGTCAGTATCCAGCATAGGTTGTAGGTTGATGGCATCGTCAGTCTGTCTCATGACTACATCATGCAGGTATTGCTATTTCAAAAATGTCTGTTGTAGCTTCCTCAGATGAGAATCCTGTTGGGAGATCCACACATGCGTCGAACTGGATAGACGCCCACTCGCATCGCTCCTGGAGTTTGTTAATTAAAAGCCTAAAAAAAGACGAACTGAAAGTAAACAGATAACGAAAATACCCTCCCAGAGGCTAATTAGGCTGGAGGAGTTGTCTCTAATCTTGGGTGAGCAAGACAGCTGCAGGGTTTGAAAGTTTCTACTTAGCTGCAAAAAAAATATGGTGAAGTCAATGAAAGAGCTCAGAGAGATGATACAGCGCTCAGAGGCTAATGTAAGAGTGAAAGATTAGAGGGGATAAGCGGGGAGAGAACAGAAATTGATGAAATATTAAGCAGAAGAAAAGTAAAAGAAAAAGGGATAGTGGGGGCGCTATATAAACTGATGGTAAGAGATAAGGAGAGGATGATAAGGATTATACAGAATAAATGGGAGGGAGAAGGGTTAATGCATCAGGAAGTGAATCAAGAAATAATGAACGGTATAAATAAAATAGATAGAGATAAAGAATTGGTGAGGAAATTTATGTGGAAATGGTATAGAACTCCGGCTCAGATAGCGTATATAGAGCACATCGGTTATTTACACCAAGGAGAGGGGCTGGAGCTCCCAGGGATGTAATTGTGGCTTTTTCAAGAGAAAAGATAAGAGCTGAGATCTATAAATCTCTGCGACAGAAGACTGAACTTCAGTTCAAATAACAAAAGGTCATTGTAAGAGAAGACTTTTCACGGGAAACGCTACAAGCAAGAAAGGACATGCAGCAATTTGCGCAAGCTTTGTTTAATGACAAAATTCTCACCTGGGCATATCCAGCAACTTTGTTGGTGTTCAGGGAGGGCAGGAAATACTCGGCTAGAGATCCAGAAGAAGCAAGGAAGATGTTGACAGATTTGGGAGTCGATTTGCAAGATGAGAATGGACAAGAGCTTTCTAGTGTGGAAGAGGAAGAGGAAGTACAGAAAGATCAGGCAGAGTCACCAGCCCAAGAGAAGGAGAGTAAAAAAAGGAAGGGACTGGAGGGGGAGGCAATAAATAATAAGTAAAGTAAATATGGGGAAATATAAAACAGGCTGGGGGTAAAATGATTGTATAATGATTTAATGTAAGATTATGTATATAAGCTTCAATAATAAATAAATAATTTTTTTTTAAAAAAAGATGAGAATCCTGTTAGGGGAACTGGAACAGATGTGGCTGTAGCATCAAGTTTGACAATGGATTGTTGGGTGTGCTTAGGGGTGGTAGCTGGGGGCATGTGTAGATATGCTTGGGAGTCAGTGGGTGTCTGGTATAGGTAAAGGTAAAGGTTCCCTTGCTCGAAAGCCAGTCGAATCCGACTCTAGGGTTGCGGTGCTCATCTCCGTTTCAAAGCCGAAGAGCCAGCGCTGTCCGAAGACGTTTCCGTGGTCATGTGGCCAGCATGACTAAACACCAAGGCGCACGGAACGCTGTTACCTTCCCACCAAAGTGGTACCTATTTATCTACTTGCAATTTCTTGCTTTCACACTGCTAGGTTGGCAGGAGCTGGAACTAGAGACGGGAGCTCACTCCGTCATGCGGCACACTCGGGTCTCGAACGGCTGAACTACCGACCTTCCACAGCCAGCAGTTCAGCGTCTTAACCACTTGAGCCACTGCAGCTCCTGGTATAAAGTGGTGTTAATATTTGTAAAGTAGTGTCTATAAAATGGGAATGATTACTGAGGGTGGAGGGGGTGGGGAGGCCTGGTGAGAATTCTGCCATGAATTTTTCAGGTGTAAATTCTTAATGTGAGGGGAAAAGGGAAAAGTAAACATAGGTTAGGTTAGAATCCCATCATAAATAACACAGAACTAGCAGTTACCCATAATGGGAGATTCTCCTCGTGGCTGACATGTCTTTCAAGTGCTTCCTGTGCTTTAGGGAGCCAGGAACCATCCGCTGCATGGTGCAGTCTGACTTCCCTGAAAGTGGTTCTGTGGAGCAGTCAGCTGAGAACACCACTGGAGTCACCCAGACCTGTTCCATTGACTAAGGCATATAAGAAATGTAGTTTTGACTGAGGAAGTGTACTAACTTCCAGAGGATGGCGTAATCATCACACATCTTTCTATCTGGCCAGAATCATGCTGAGTCATCCACGTCAGGCTTTGGTGGTAGCACACGCTTATTTGTTTCCTTGATGGACTCTGCCCATGGAGTGGCAGGGTTTTATCAATGTGGAAAGTTGTGTAATGAAGGCGTGCCCTGCACTGAAGTTGCACAATGAAGGAATTGCCCTGCACAGAGCTGGGCCTGTCAGGGTTCAGTGTCCTGAACGGAGCCGAGGGAAGCTGGAGCATGTTGCCTGTGAAATGGGGCCTGGGACACTCCTTGGTCCTGATGGTCTGCTTGGGCGCAGCCTCCACTGGGAATGTACTCGTATGGCCGGCAGACCACAGCCACTGGATCAACCTGAAAGTGATCATGAAAGAGCTCACAGCCAGGGGCCACCACATAACTGTGCTGTGGCCTTCGTTCTTCCACAAAACCGACTCCAGCCGACTTCCCTCTTTCCACCTGGAAGAGGTCACGGTTCCATTCCCCACAGCAGAGATGGATGCTTTGCTGAGGGAGTTCTTATACTTGTCAATGTATGAGAAGCCTGAAATTTCTCTATGGGAGTTTTCCTTCAGGTTTTATCACTTGATTATGGACCTGTTCTCCAGGAACAAAATCCTCTGTGACATGGTCGTTTTGAATGAAGAGCGAATGAAGAAGCTGCAGCTGGCCGGCTTCGACCTTCTCATTGCAGACCCACTCATGCCTTGCGGCGAACTGGTGGCCGAGAAGCTTCAGATTCCATTCGTGTATTCCTTCCGATTTTCTGCAGGAAATACGCTGGAGCGTCTCTGTGGGGCCCTTCCAGCCCCTCCGTCGTATGTGCCAGCAAGCACCTCTGAGCTAACAGACAGGATGTCCTACACAGAGAGGATGAAAAACCTGCTCTTTTATAGCTTACATGACTTCATTTTCCATCAATTTATCTTGAGAGATTGGAACCAGTATTACAGTGATGTCTTAGGTAAGAACTTGCTCCTACTTCCAGTGACAGTGTTTTTGACTCCCACTTAGGGTTGCCAGGTCCCCCGGGGGGCGAAAGGCCCGTTCCCCGCAGGCCCGGATCGGGCCGCTGGGGGGAAGCCCACCCTCAAAGTGTGAGATGTGCTCGGTGTGAATACGTCACCTGGAGGTGATGTCATCGCATTGGGCACATTGCAGGGGGACGCTCTATCATTTGAGGGAAAACTCTATGGTTTCCCCTCAAATGATTGTGGCCCTGCCCCCAATGTGCCCGATACGATGACATCACTTCTGGGTGTGCGCATGAGAAGACTCCCAGGGAGGTGCAGGCTTCCCACCGCTAAAAGGTAAATACGACTTGGCAACCCTACTCCCACTTCGAAACAAGCTGGTTCATACATGCGCAGTTTGGTCAGACTTGATGTCTGTATCAACTGATTCTGTGTTTAAGGTGGTATGAAAGTTCTCTCTACAAGTTTGTGAAGGCTGCTTCACATGCGTAAGTCATTGCTTGGTGTTGTAGTCAAATATTGCATGCACGTGTGAAGCAATCTCAATGTAACGTAATATAATAACATGTGTTTTAACTATGTTTTCAGTGTCCCTATTTTGCAAGCTGTCTTGGGTACTGTGAAAATGTGGGTTATAAATATTTAAACAGATAAATTAAATTTGTACTGACAAGTCATCTCAAAACTTCCGTATTTGGCAGTTACTATTGGCAGAGTCATTAAGAAAGCAACGGTGCTGTTATGTACGCGGACCGCCACCAGGGGTCTGTGGCTAAGCTGGAGCTTGGTCCCCAAACACAAAGGGGACCTCGGATCCTAGTCCACCTAGAGTCCACCAATAGCACCCTTGATGGGAAATTCAAACCCTCCAATGGGGACAGAGGTGTGCCAGGTGGGAGTGTATATAGTTGGCCTTGCAGGGCCGTTTTCCCTTGTCTTGTTGTGAAGTACAATAAATGCAACTGAATGCATGTCGTAGTCCAAGTTCTCCATGCATCGAACCCAGTACTTTTCAGTGGTGACGAGGATGAGATCCCAATGTGCAGGCCAGGCTCACCTCCCAGCGCAGCACCAAGCTTCGTTCCAGATAATGCCACCACTCCCGCACCGCTCCCGAGCGGCACCGCATCACGCCCGGCATCACTGAACATCACTCCCCCACTCCGTGCTATAGTCATGGCCTTCACTCCAGGACACCTTGACGTTTTCGACCCCACTGGCGGGGAGAGCTCTGGGATTCATGGACGGACCAGCTAACATGCCACCTCGCCTTCCATGAGATACCCGATGCGGGCAAGAGAAGGCTCTACTCCTCAGCTCTTGTGGCGTGAACATCATCTGGCTCGCGAGGAGCCTCCTGGCCCTGAAGGCTATCCTCAAGTGTACATACGAGGAGATCATAGAAGCCCTGACCAGGTACCTAACCGCCAAGCCAATGATGCTGGCCAAGAGGATGGAATTCCAGGGGTGCCTCCAGAAGCCCAGCGAGATGGCCACCACATTCATGGCTGTGCTGCGCCAACACACTATGGAAAGCAACTTCTCCAAGGTGGAGGAGAACCTCTTGACCCAGTTCGCCTGGGGAATCAGCGACATGAAGCTCTGCCGAAAGATGATCGGCACATCCGACATCAAACTCGACGAGGCCCTCCAGCTTGCCATCGCCCACGAGGCCTCCCACCGCAACCGACCACCGGCAGTGTCCCATCTCATGCTCCCCGACTCAGCACCCGAGACCTCAGATGAGGACGACGTCTGTCTCGTCTGCGCACCCCACCGCCGGAAGCCGGTGGGATTCGACGGAGCCTTTGGACACCCTGGTAAGCCTGCCGGACGGTCCCCGTGTGGCAGCTGAGGAGAGGCACACGAGCGCAAGTCATGCCGGTTCCGTGATGCCAACTGCCACACATGTGGAAACCAAGGACACCTCGCCCGCATCTGCAGATCCAAGGGCAACTGGAACCACCCACCACAGCCGCAATCACCCCGCCAGGCCTCCGTGCACTACGAGGCCAACGAAGGTGCGGACGATCTATACCTCCTGACCAGTTACCCTTCACTACAGGTACTACGACTCCCCGACTTGCCCGCAACCCCGAAGGTCCAGGTCCAGGTCACGATGGAGGGGTCCCTCTTCCCAATGAAAGTGGACTCAGGGTCAGCGGCTTTCATCAAATCTGTGGAAACGCTGAACAGACTTTGCCCAAATGGCGGGCCCTACCTGTGGCCTTCGCCCTTGAGCCTGGTGGACTTCCAGAGGAACCTGGTTCCAATACGGGGTGTGGGAACTTTCCGGGTGAAGTACAGGGGTTTTCAGGGTTTCCTGGAGTTGATTGTAGTGGAGGAGAATTTGGTTAGCTTATTGGGGCGGGCGTGGTTTGCGCCATTGGGCATCACCGTGGGAGGAGTGAATAAATGTGCACCGAGGGATTTTGCTGAGGTTTGTGGGAAATTCCCTGTGGTTTTTGATGGGGCTCTGGGTTGTTACAAGGGACCCCCTGTTTCATTTCAACTCAACCCCCAAATTGCACCCATCCGCATGTGGTTCCACACCGCCCCACTCACTTTGCAGCCTAAAATCGATGCGGAGCTAGACTGTTTAGTGGCACAAGGGGTCCTTGAACTGGTCTCCCATGTGCCGTGGGAGACTCCCATTGTAACCCCCGTAAAGTCCAATGGCAACATTCGCATCTGCGCGGACTATAAATGTACATTTAACAAGGCCCTCCACGACCATGCATACCCTGTCCCGGTCGTGAGTCATGTATTGGCTTCCTTAGTGGGGACCAAGATTTTTGGCAAGTTGGATCTCATGCAGGCATACCAACAGCTGCCAGTAGATGAGGCCACGGCTCAGACTATTGTGATGCACCGGGCGGCTTTTAAGGTTAGGTGACTGCAGTTTGGCGTGAGTGTGGCCCCGGGGATATTTCAGCAACTAATGGGCTCTTTGTTGAAAGGGATCCCTGGGGTGACGCCGTTCTTTAACGACGTCCTCATCACCGCGGCCACCCCAGATGACTGCCTCCTGCCTCTGTGCCGCCCTGTCCCCATTGGAGGGTTTGAATTTCCCGCCAAGGTTGCTATTGGTGGACTCTAGGTGGACTAGGATCCTAGGTCCCCTTTGTGTTTGGGGACCAAGCTCCGGTTTAGCCACGGACCCCTGGTGGCAGTCCACGTACATAACACCCCTCCCCCCTTAGTTCCGATCCAACCTATGTTACATAGTCCTGCAGATAGGAGGGAGGCTCATTGGCCCAGATACCCTTCACTCACCATAGGTCCACCCCTAAACAGAGGGCATTGGAAGAGGAGCGGGGTCAGCCTGCCTCCAGGCAATCCTTTATTAGGTGAGCCCACAGAGGCCCAAAGAAGAAGGCCGGACTGCTTTTGTGGTGGCTCAGGGAGAGGTGGATGGCTTGGCAGGGGGGATAAAAGTAAGGCCAAGGCAGATTATGTTTTATTACTCCCCTAAAAATTCCTCATGCATTTTGGTGACAGGCTTCTTCAGGCAAATCTGTAATATAATATCATAATTATATAAGAGTGGCTATTTAGTTAACATAATATCAGCAAATAAATTTTTTTTTAAATTCAAATTACAATTTGTAAAACGTACTATCAACTAGATACAAAACCCTCTAACTATAAGCACTAGAACCTATTCTGTCCTTAGGATTGCATTTAAAAAAACAAAACCTGAGGGAGGTAGCAGAGATAAGACGGACAGGTTTTGCCTCTATAGGTTTTGGCTCAGTTTTAAAAGAATTTTCCCTCTGCCCAGGTGAATATCATAAAACCTGTTTGTCTGCCAGTGTTCCTTCAACCAGAGTACAAGATCAGCAGCAATTAGCAATGGAAGGACCATTCAGTATATATAATTGTTTAATTGACCCAACATCTTTTTACAAAAACTGACGCAGGGGTCATTTCATAGAAAAAGAGGTGCAGGAGCTCATTAGCACAACTCATTGGCACAACTTATTTTCATATGCCACACCCCCTGCCGTCACCAGAAGTGTGTCAGAAGGCACCCACCGCTCAGGCTCCACCCCAAAAATCTCCAGGTATTTCCCAACTCAGATTCAAACCTGGGTCTCCCAAATCCTCGTCTGGAACACTAACCACTACACAACACTTCACAGGGCGGCGGCTGTTGAGCAGCAGCAAGCGGCTGGGCCCGCATGACTTGTGCAAGTTGCATGGTGTCCAGTTGTCCAGTGGCTGCTGCTAGGCCTGACGTGCTCCCTCCCCCTACATTTTCCTGACAGAAACAAATGCTTGAAGGCTGGAAATACTGCTGTGGTTGACAAACAAGGGCCACCAAGAGAACTCCTTTCGAATCGCTACAGGTGCCGCTTCTGTTATGGGTGAGGGTTGACCCAATGCATTTTCAGCTGCCATCGATGATGGACGGCCGTTGGCTAGGTACTTCCCTACAGGTCCCTGCTGGTTCGAATCACCAGAATATTTTGATCTTGTCAGCCCAAAACATCTTCATGAGAAAACCTTCTTCGCTGAGGAAGATCCGGACCAGATCGGGGACTGTCTGCGCAGGGTCTCCATATAGGGTATAATGATCCTCCCCAGTTGCAGGGGGTGGGGGGTGGGGGTGGCAGCAAATGGCCTTCCCGTCAATGAAGGGAGCATGCCGCCACTGCAGCGCGACTCCAGAGAGGGGGTATTTAAACTTTAAACCCCCTCAGTCTTTGGAGTCACCCCACAGAGGTGGCATGCTCCTTCCAGACGTTTCTTCCTGGCAGCACTGGCCTCGCTGTCATGCAGAAGCTTCTGCTGGGTTCCCTTCCCCCCCCCTTTCCCTTTGACCCGCTTGGAGGGGAAAGGGGGGGAGGAGTTTACTTGTTACTCCCGGAATGCCATTCCTGTCCGTTCCTGCTTGAAATGACTCCTGAACTGATGCAATTCCAGAGTCAAATTTAACCCAGGAGGAGGAGGAGGAGAAGGAGATTGGATTTATACCCCGCCCATCACTCAGAGTCTCAGTGTGGTTTACAAATTCCTTTCCCTTCCTCTCCCCACAACAGACACCCTGTGAGGTGGATGGGGCTGAGAGAGTTCTGAGAAAACTGCTCTTGAGAGAACAGCTCTGACAGAACTATGGCTTGCCCAAGGTCATCCAGCAGCTGCAAGTGGAGGAGTGGGGAATCAAACCAGGTTCTCCCAGATTAGAGTCCACGCACTTAACCACTACACCAAACTGACTCCAGGGTCTGGAGTCTTATAACCCAGCAATAGTATCTCAGCTTGACAAGTTAATTTTTGCACAGCCCCTAAGTCAGAGGGACCAGAATTGTTTTTAATAACGTGTTTAGCCAATGAGGCACTTGTTCTTTTCAATTTTATATTACTGTTATGTTCTATGGTGCTTGTTCTTAAGTTCCTTATTGTTTTTCCATGAAGTTTATTACAGGGGTATTGTAAAATCGTTTAGTGTATATTTTTCATATCCAAAGGATTGATGAAATATTTCATATTACATGTTAACGTTTGCTTAGGAAAAAATTCCCTGGGGAAGATTGGTGGGGGTGGAAATATGGAGACCCCTTGTGGGGTTTTCAAGGCAAGAGAGGTTTAGAGGAGTTTTGCCACTGCCTGCCTCTGCATAGGAGCCCTTTATTTCCTTGAAGTTCTCCCGTCCAAATACTAGCCAGGGCCAACCCCCCCTTAGATCCTGAGCTCTGATGAACTTGGGCTACCAGGCTTAGTATCTGGTAAACGTAAAACTCTTTGATGGTAACACATTTATGAGTGTTATTGTGATCTAGATATTCCCTCAGATTCTTAATACTCCTAAAAGGAGCCATAACTTTCTCATCACATTTGTTTGTTTATAAATACCTAGTTTCTTTAAATGAAACTGTCCTCAGGGCCAGATGAACTGCATCCAAGGGTACTAAAAGAACTCGTGGATGTAATTTCTGAGCCTCTGCCCATTATTTTTGAGAATTTTTGGAGAACGGGTGAGGTCCCTGAAGATTGGAGGTGGGCAAATGTTGTCCCCATCCTCAAGAAGGGGAAAAAAGAGGATCCAGGTAACTACCGACCCATCAGCTTGATGTCTATACCTGGCAAAGTTTAAGAACAAATAGACAGTCAGTCTTTGAGCATTTAGAAAGGACGGCTGTAATTACTAAGAGCCAGCATGGGTTTCTCAAGAACAAGTCATGTCAGACTAACCTTATCTCTTTTTTTGAGAAAGTTACTACCTTGTTGGATCAGGGGAATGCTGTAGCTATAGTTTATTTGACAGTACAGTGCCTGCAAGTAACATCAATAGCGAACAGCCACAATGGCTGTTCGAATCCCCACCGCGGCCGGAGTGAGATCCCGGCCCCTAGTCCCAGCTCCCGCCAACCCAGCGGACCGAAAGCAGTTAACAGCTATGCGAGTAGGCTAATGGGTACCTACCCTTAGAAGGGTAGGGGGCCCCCGCCTCTGATGAGGAGCATGGAGATGGCGCAGACAACGGCGGAATCATCGTTGGCAATGGTGGCAACAGAGCATCTGGCGGCGGAGGTGAATAACGATGCAGTGGCTACAGCACGAATGGAGCGATCCCTGGCGGCGAACAGACCATCGTACAACCAGCGGCTGCGGAGGCGAGAGACTGAGGGGCGCCCGATGACGCGCGGCGCCGGACGAGGCAAAGCCTGAGCCTTGAACCAGGAAACAGGCGTGGAGTCGGGCGCCTGCGCAGTCCCGCCGGTCGGCAGTCGCTGGGAGGAGTGCCAGAAGAGATCGCCGGGAAGAAACTAACCGTGCCGGAGAAACAACGAGGCCCTCCAACTAGGGTGCTGGTAGGTTTCCCCACCCCTACCATGTGTGTGGCCCAAGTTAGGGAAGAAGGGTTATTAGAACCACTACAAATGTAAACCGCCCAGAGACTCCTAGGGGTTAGGGCGGTATAGCAAATGGAAAGTTAAATAAATTAAATAAATAAATAAATAAATATCTTGATTTCAGTATGGCTTTTGATAAGGTTCCATGTTAAGTATGCAACTCAACAACAAAGTAAGTAACAAAGTGAATCAGCTTTATTTGAGAACGAGAACTTTGAAAGATCACACAGCAACAGATGACACACCACAAAACAACAGTAGAGCATAGCTCCTTTTAAACTCTCCCAGGCTGAGGTAGCCACGCCCTTACACAGTTAACATCCAATCACAATACATGGATAACATCCAATCATTAGTCTTTCCTCCAGCACAGACTCTTAAATTTCATTGGTTACTGTACAAGCTTCAGCCAATGGTGTTGTTCCAGATTACAATCTGGCTGAGGTTTCAAGCTTTACATTACATGTCAATGGCAAGACACAACATTCCACATAATATTCTTGTTGACAAATTGGAAAAATGTGGTTTGGATCCTATGACTGTTAGGTGGATCCATAACCGGTTGACAAAGAGTGCTTGTGAATGGTTTCTCTTCTTCTTGGAGAGGAGTGACAAATGGACTGCCTCAAGGACCTTTTTTATTCAGCATCTTTATCAATGATTTGGATGAAGGGATACAGGGAATGCTTATTAAATTTGCAGATGATACTAAATTGGGAGGGGTAGCAAGTATGGCGGAAGAAAATCAGGATGCAGGATCATCTTGACAGGCTGCAAAACTGGGCTAAAACAAATAAAATGAATTTAAATGGGGATAAATGTAAAGTTCTTTATTTAGGTAGGGAAAATCAAATGCATAATTATAGGTTGGGGGAGACTTGTCCTTGCAGTAAGTAAAGGTAAAGGTAAAAGCTCCCTTGCTCGAAAGCCAGTCGAGTCCGACTCTAGGGTTACGGTGCTCATCTCCATTTCAAAGCCGAAGAACCAGCGCTGTCCGAAGACGTTTCCGTGGTCATGTGGCCGGCATGACTAAACACCAAGGTGCACGGAACGCTGTTACCTTCCCACCGAAGTGGTACCTATTTATCTACTTGCAATTTCTTGCTTTCAAACTGCTAGGTTGGCAGGAGCTGGAACTAGAGACGGGAGCTCATGCCGCCATGCGGCACACTCGGGTCTCGAACTGCTGAACTACCGACCTTCCACAGCCTGCAGTTCAGCGTCTTAACCACTTGAGCCACCGCAGCTCTTTTCAGTCGTATGTGCAAAAAGGATCTAGGGGTCTTAGTAGACCATACACTGAACATGAGTCAGCAGTGATGCCATTGCTAAAAAGGCAAGTGCGATTTTGGGCCATATCAACAGCCTTCTGCACACCAAGCAGAGGCTCTGCCGCTGAGCCATGACCTATCTCGATGGCAACGGTCTTCGTGAAGTGCGAAAATCCAACATAGGAGGGCATCTCTGAGCTAGAGGAGAGAAGGAAAAGGCTGTGGGCAGGGGGAGATCTGCTGGCAGGGTTGTCAACCTCTAGTTTGTGGCTGGAGGTCTCCTGGGATGACCACTGATCTCCAGACCACAAAGATCAGTTCACTTGGAGAAAATGGCTGCTTTGGAAGGTGGACTGTATGGCAATACATGCTGTTGAGGTAGGGTTGCCAAGTCCTACCTTGGCTCAGAGCAGGGGACTCCCGGGTCGATCCCGGAGCGTGCGCGTGTGTGCCGCATCCACATCACCAGGAAGTGACGCAACCGTGCCCCGCGTGCTTGCGTCACTTCCTGGTGACATGCACGTCGGGGTGGAGTTCCCCCCAGGGCCCGATCCGCCAGCGGCGGGGAACGGGCCTCTGGGGCAGGGGTTTCCCCACCCCCCGGGGGAGTTGGTAAGCCTATGTTGAGGCTCCTCCCTTTCCCCAACCCCACCCTCCTCAGACTCCACCCTCAAAATCTCCAGGTATTTCCCAACCTGGAAATGGCAATCCTGTGTACTGGGCTGGGCACTAAAATTCCAAGGTAGCTATTGAGGGAAATTTTTTCCCCAGTCAGAAAAAAAACATGATGTTTTTTAAAAAATATATCTCCCCCCCTCTCTACCATGTCACTATTTTTCTAACTGGAAAGCAATCCTGAGTCAGCTGCACTTGCAAAGGGAAAGAGAGGCCTATTAAAATAGGCGGGCGGGGGGGAACAGGTACCCCAGATTGACCCTCACTTTAGTCCCTGCAACAGAGGGATTTCTATGTGTGCGGCACGTGTTTGCCTTCATAAATTTGTTTCCACTTCACATTGTTAGGAAATGAAATCTGTGAACCATCCCTTGGTATTTCTGCAAACAAGGCTGCCAAATCCTTCCATCTGCAAAGCAAGACAAGCTAAGCGTAACCACCCTCCTTTTCATTTGTAGGGAGGCCCACGACACTGTGTGAAACAATGGGGAAAGCTGAGATGTGGCTGATCCGAACCTACTGGGACTTTGAATTCCCTCGGCCTTTCCTCCCCAACTTTGAATTTGTCGGTGGTCTGCACTGCCAGCCAGCCAAGCCTTTGCCTGAGGTAATGCTCCGTTTTGCCTTCCGTCTGGCCAAGATAACTGAATCTGTTTTTTGTTCACAGTGCCTTATGAAAAAGGTGGTTGTACCTGCTGTGGGTTAGGAATTTCCTGGGAATGGGAGAGGGGAGGGAATTCCACAGAGTCTGCTCCTCAGAACAGCCATTTTCTTCAGAGGAACTGATCTCTGTAGCAGTCTGGGAGATCTCCAGGCTGTACCTGGAGGCTGGCAACCTGAGTGTGGCTGTGACACAGGGGTAATAACTGAAGGCTTTGGAAAGTGGTTTTTATATGGAGTGTGCATTCTGTGTGCAATGTGCATCTGTTGTGAAAGGGAAGTCACAGCTAACAAGGACAAAAATCTAGGGCCCTGCGCTGCCTGAAATCGCCACTGCAGGTGCAAATTGACCAACAACTGCACCAGAGGCATGTTCACTGTGGAAAAAACACCCCCCGTGTAGAATCAGCCCGATTGCTAAAGCGCTTTAGTTTCAGACACCTCTTGGCTCTCTCTGGCCTTTTCTGCACCGACAGCTTGCTCCAAAGAATGTGAGGGTTGACTTCGCAGTCATGATGTACAGAAAATAATCCTGTCTGTGTGTGTTTCCCCAGCCCAATTTGAGAAAACACTCATTACAATCCTGTAGAGCAGAATCAGATCTTGTACTTTATTGATCAACAAAGGAGGAAGGTGCAGATTCAATAAGGTTTTGGGCCCCACAGCTCTCCCTAAGGTTACAATGGGAGACATAAAGTTTTATACCCCCTATGACAGTTAGAAATAAATCATAATTATTGGTTCCATCAAACTTTGTCATATATCCGTCACACCATTCTGATTGGGCCCAGGCCTGTAGGTTGGACTTTCTCAGGCAAACATACCTCCTTCAGTTGAACAATGGGCCTTCTTCTTCCCAGGCTATGAAGTGATAAAAAGTATCTAATGAAACAGATATGGGCACATCGTGGCGTATGTTCTCCATCTAACTCAAGCTACTTGACATCAGGTACATGCGCAGTTACAGCTGGCCATAACAAGCAAGGTCACAAGCTTCAGCATTTTATCTTCCCAGCATGCATCCAAACAACAGTCACAAATGAACCAAAGTTAATACTTGAAAACATTCATGATGTTAGAATTATAAATGGCACTTAACATAACACATAAATGGCTAAGTGCACCTATTAAGTTAAACCTGTCAGTCAGTGGCAGAGTACAAAGTGTTTCATAAACTGTGCGTTTAACAGTCACACGCATTCCCTCTGCACTGGGTCCCCCCCCCTCGGTTTATTTATTTGTGTATTCTGTGTGCATTCTGCATCTACAAGCAAAACTCGCATTTTTTTAGCAAACTGGCTGTTTTGAAGGCAAACATCTTTTAAAACGTTTAACTTTAAAAGACCCTCTGTGATTCTGCAAAAAGAAAGGGGAAGGAGGCCCACACAGGCAAGACTGACACACTTGGGAGCAGGGAATCCCCTAGTCCTTTATATTTACTGACTAGCAGTAAAGCCCGTTGTGGAAATAAATACAACGAGATCTAGAAAGAGGCTCTGGGGGAGTGCTCTGGCTTTGGGCAAACAGTGTCATTTTGCTGTGGTGACTTCAGCAGGGTATAATGACAGAGTCCACTGTTTTCTCCAGAGGAACTGATCTCTGCTCCCTGAAGAGTAGTTGTAATTTTGAGTGATCTGTAGCCCTCACCTGGAGATTGGGAACAATTGTTACCCAGGATGAAATGGCTGGTTTGGAGGGTGGAGTCTATGGAATTCTACCTGTCTGAGGTCCCACCCCTCCGCAAACCCCACCGTCTCCAGGCTCCACCTCTCAAATCCCCAGGAATTTGCCAGCCTGGAGTTGGCAACCCCATCTCCTTCCCAGGTAACCATCAACCTACCATTATCTGCCCCTTTGACTTCAGCTGACTTCCGCCCTCCCTTCTGCAGAGCAATTGTAATTTTGAGCGGTCTCCAGCCCTCACCTGGAGATTGGCAACAATGGTTCCCCATGAGGGACTGAGTGGTTTGGAGGGTGGGGTCTATGGCATTGTACCTGTCTGAGGTCCCACCCCTCCTCAAACCGCACCCTCTTCAGGCTCCATCCCTCAAATCTCCAGGAATTTCCCATCGGGAGTTGGCAACCCTATCAGGATTGGCCCCAATATGTTTTCTCCCAAAGGCAAAGTAGGTGACTGGACCAAACTTAGTTGCCTACCAACAGGCACTGAGGGGAAAGTAGGGTTGCCAGCTATAAGGAGGGAAATACCTGGAGTTTTGGGGGGTGGATTTTGTAGAGGGCAGCATTGGGGGGGGGCGCGGAAGGACTCAGCAGGTATAATGTCATAGGGTCTACCCTCCAAAGCATCCATTTTCTTCAGGGGAACTGATCTCTGTCATCTGGAGATCAATTGTAGCAGTGGGAGATCTCCAGGTCCCACCTGGAGATTGGCAACCCTAGGGGAAAGTCTGCTGCACAGCAGGGGGTTGAAGAGAATGGTTTGATGGGTGCTGGGCCAAGATTGGCAACAATAGTTCCCCAGGAGCAAATAGCTGGGTTGGAGGGTGGAGTCTATGGCACTGTAACCTGTCTGAGGTCCCCCTCTCCGGCCTCCACTCCTCAAATCTCCAGGAATTTCCATACCTAAAGCTGGCAACTTTATTTCCTCCCCTCTCAGTAGCCTCTTATTTTGCCTTAAATTGGTTTTGATGCCAGCAGAGTGAGAAAATGCCAGAGGCTCTGGGTGGGTGCCCCATCGTAAATGCACCAAACAATTCCTAAAGATTTGCCAAAACACTACTCTGTCGACAAATTGCAGCACTTTGAATTAGCACCAGAGCTTTAAGAGCTCTCCAGCTGTCACCTGGAGACTGGCAACAGCTTGTTTGGAGGGTGGGGAGTATGGCATTGTATCTGTCTGAGGTCCTCCTCTTTCTCTTCCTCCTCCTCCTCCTCAGACCCCACCCTCAGCAGGCTTCATTCCTAAACTATCCTGGAAGTTTCCAACCTGGAGTTGGCAACCCTATGCCCCCCCCC